GGCCTTTGTAGACGTTAAGTTACACAACCAAGCCGCAATTGCGTATTTAAGAAACGACAGTTCCCAAAATCGTCGAAAAATCTGAAGTTTTCCCACTTTTCTTTTGATTGACTAATTCTTTAGTATTGGAGCTGTAGTTGTGGTTTATTAGAAACAGGAGTACTTTGAATCGAATAAGAATCAACTTTAAGGGCTACCATTTAGGTCAGAAGTGGTTGCTATGTTGCGGTGCAGGTTTCTATTCGTTCGATCTCAACGTGCTTGGTTATCTTCGCTCTCCCGATCCGGGGATCAACAGGTTACGAACAGTAAACCAGAAGAAGTTGAATTAGATCCTGTGAAGGCTTACACGATGTTCGGCAATCCTAGACGAAGTGTATTTCACTATATACGAAGTCGGTTTCTGAGTACTAAAAGGTCTTATGGAAAGGTGTAGAACAGCTGGTAGTGCCAGGGCTTTACACCTTATTAGGAAGATAATTCAATGGCTTACACGCTCGTTATTATTGCAACCATACATGTTTTCTATTGAACACAGTGAATCTTTCGCAAGAATGCTGGGTTAAGAACAACACTTCCGCTACAAGGTACTAAACCGCACCTCCATTTTGATTGTTAACCGCTGTTTTGGGACGCGCAGTTCGTCTGGCAGAAGTCGCACAAAGGTGCTGTGTTTGTAAACAAACGATGCCCAGGGGTGGACACCGAAACCCGCACCTCCAGGCGGAGATTCTGTAATAGTGCGCTTGTGTGAGAGCTCCCAGACAGCACAACAAAACGCTGAATTGCCTAGCCTCACGGTTGGCAGATGTCTGGAGACCCTATTTCGGAAGACCAGGAGAGCATCGAGTGCAGACCATACACCAAAAGTGACGATGCCTAGAAAAAAGTGGCTTTTTCCTAGCCGTCGTCTTTTGTGGTGTGTGGTCTGCACTCGACATTCTTCTCGTCTTCCGAAATAGAGGTTCCGTTACTGGGGCACTGTTTTAACAATTCCGGAAATTTTTGTTTCATCCCCATACCTTTCTGTTTTCTCATTTTTTGCAATTATGTAAACATTGCAAAAATGGGTGAACTGTTCTCTAGGTACTATATGTAGAACAACAACAGTCATCAGGGTGTTTCATATTCACATTCGTTCATTTAGAAAGAGTGGCACCGGATATTCGGACTTTTCAACAACAGTCTATGAGCACCGCCCTTATATCTGGCCGCCTCTGCGGAAATTATTCAAATTCAACTTTTTCGTTGTAGGTGCTGGGATGCTGCTATTATTACTCGACTATGAATGGTAGGTGAAGTTGCTCTGAGATTTGTAGCCGTTGTTATTCGTCTTTAATAAGAAATCGCAGGATTGCGGAGCAGTTCAACTCAATGACAAAAGGTCTGAAGCCAGAGGCATCCCAATTGAAGGAGGAGCAACATGATGTTTCCAGCGACTCGAAGAGTCCGGTACCTGCCTTCGATGATAGCTCATAATTTCTCTTATACGCCTTAATAAAGTATAGAAATCTAAATGATTTTTCGTGGCTGAAGTTTTCCGTTGTAGGTTCCTTGAATAAGAGTTATTGAAGTCATATTCATGTAATAGCATAAGGACTTCCTTTTCAATCACTGTTAAAGACATCTTTGGTTTTTTTTTTTTTCACAAATCTCGTACGTTTTAGCTACTCTTACCTTGCGCAAAACCCTCATCCTGGGGGGATACAAGTGTCAGTGCTTCCCTATGCGATGTCTGAGCTAGGCATTTACAAGGCCAGTCAAGTATGAGCTTTAGCTTATTACGGGTGGAAGTGGTATCGAAATTTTAACGTTTCGTAGCTGCCTTCGTTAGCAACCTTGTTTTGAACGACATATGTGACATTGACCAGTCAGTGCTACAGTGCTACAGTGCAGGTTCAGAATCACGTGGAAATCGAAGGAGAAGGCAGCTGAAAACCAAAAAAGAAGAAAATAGGATTCCGTGAACGTCGAATAATCGAATATGAAGATCGCATTCGAATGTACTCTACTCCAGACAAGATTTTCAGATACTTCGCAACGCTTAAGGTTACTCGTTTTAACGATTCTTTTTCTTTCTTCCCATGAAGCTAACCCTTCTTCAAGGTAATCGACAAAAGCGATGAATCTGGCAGAACCTTCGAAGTATTCATGACACCCGAAGACTTTCTCAGATCGTTCACTCCTGGTGTTATGCAGCCGAGGAAATATGGTCTGGACAGTTACAAAATTTACCAACCAGAGGTGATTTTTTAGTTTTCCAATTTGCTAATGTCCCTGTTGACAGCAACCAATGGAGTGCATACTTCTCTCGCGAGAGAATGATTTGTTGTCAACCTTCTATAGATTTCCCTGATGGACTTATTGTTTATTAGCACCTCACTCTATGAAAAGAGTGCGTAAAGTATCCTGCATTGCATAACTTCATTTTGTGAATATTATGCACGTCCATGTTTCAGGCAGGGTTGGAGAAATTGTGCTGTAACGTAGCAGGCATTGCGCAGCGCCTGCTAAAGAATAAAGTGGATCCGTTAGAGAACTGCCGCTTTCCAGTTGAATTATTAAACTCTCATAAGAAAATGCGACAATCAACGAACCTACCTTATCTACTTGCCGACAGAAAATCCCATTTTCATGTCGTCTGTGCCACTCCGCCGTTGGCAAATTGTGACCACACCTTTCATAAGTCGCGAAACATTGAGCTCATGTAGAGCCTGGCTTGCTACCCATTCCTGAGACGATAGCCTATAGTGGACGAATCTTCTTTTTTCGGATTATGACCTGCTTTTTGTATCACTGTCTTCTAAGAATGGGAGTGTGTTGCCGCACAGTAGAATTGGTGTGGCAACAAAATCTCTATGGGCTCGTACTGCATCGAGACAACTGTTCCGGCATTACTGTGGGTCTTTACTTCCTTGTGCGGTACAAGGAAAGCTCTCCCTTTTCCATATTCTCGATGCAATGCAGTGGATTTATCGACCGAACTTAAACAATCGCTAAACACAGCAGTGACAAGGATCTTTTACGCAGTGTTTTAGAAGAGCAATCGTCTCATTTTCAAATGTATAATCGTTTCACTTTCAGAGGTATAAACACAAATTCTCCGATAAGACAAGTATCTTCTACAAGTTGGGTGAAAACGGTTTGATCAGCTTCAGTGACTATTTATTCCTCATGACCCTGCTTTCGAGTGAGTTTCGTTTGTAAAGAGTTTTCATGCCAGAAATTTATCTGAAAAAATTCCCTGTCGTTTCTTCAGCATCACCAAACGATTTTGCTCTTGCTTTCAAAATCTTCGATATAAACGGTGACGGTGCCCTTGACAAAGAAGAGTTCCTTAAAGTTCAGGTAACAGAATGTTCTTCATGGTATTCTTGAGCTGCATCTGTGTACGCTTTTCAGCATCTTATTATGTCGCAAACCACAGTTGGACAACGGCACCGTGATCATATTACACCAAACTCTTCCTTCAGAGTGGAATCGAATTCAGCTCTCGAACATTATTTTTTCGGACCAGACGGAAAGAACACACTTTCAGCATCGAAGTTCCTCGAATTTCAGGTACCCACATTGGTTCTTGTGTTATCAAATGACCGTTACCTATTACGTTACCTATTACACCCTTAATGGATTGCTCTTTTAGGAGCAACTGTACAGCGATATATTGCGAATGGAGTTTGATAGAAGAGACGCACTGGACGGTGTTGATGGTCTTATTAGTGAAATAAGTTTTGGAGAGCTGCTACTCATGCACGCACAAATTCCCGAAAAGCGACAGAAATTGATGCTGAAACGACTGAAAAGGAAGTACAAGAATTCGCAAGGAGTATCATTCGAAGAAGTGAGAGTAACTGCTCCATTCACTTCTGAACAAAAATCCATTTTGTTAAGACCCGCGCCTTCTTTCAATTTCTCTACCACATTGAGTCTGTTGATATGGCTTTGCATTTTCACCGTATGGCCGGCCTTCCCGTTGATGCAAAATTGCTGAAAAGGTAAATTGCGGTGGTCTGAAACCTTGACTGTTTTTTATAAAATTGTGTTCAGAGTCGCTCATAAGATTACTGGTGTAGAGCTAAGCGATCACGTGATCGATGTTGTTATCACACTATTCGATGACAACATGGTGAGTCAATTTCTTTCATTTTTCCGAATAGTGATCAGGAAAGATTCAACTTAGGATGGGAAGTTGTCGAACAATGAAATGATTGCGGTTATGCGACGACGAATGCGTCGAGGACTGGAGAGGCCGCGAGACACGGGACTCTTCCGATTGTTTGATGCGCTGGCGGTTTGCGGCATGCGCGCTTACCGTGCCAGTCCTCTTTACTTTCAGTGATTGCCGAACAGTTCGATAATATGGCCAACAGATGGAGACAGCATTTTTAAGTGCGTAGCTCAGTCCACAGCGAATAGTCCTCATCTCGAGCGATGGGGTTGAGATATTCAATTCATTAGGTGGCTTCTTTTCCGCGTAGGAATGCTCTTCCTCAGGACATTTCCATGACACTCGAAACCGTTAACGTTCCCCTAAACGAGCATGCTGAATGCCGAAGCAACCTCTTCTGGGGTCCACTTTCCATCAACAATCTTCGGGGCAATCTAGAGGGTCCCCTCTGCCACACAGTTCATTTTCTAGTCCGAAAATGATGTTTCTGTAACCTCGTTACGGCTTTCTAACTCTATCAGCTAATTTTGTAGTACTTATCGAGATCTTCGAGTTACAGTCCATGACGGGTGGGGTCTCCGCTTTAAAAATTGATAGGTTGTAAGGAGACTAGTGCTTACCAAATGCATATATCGAGTGGCTTTACTACAGCTCAAATTATTGTTTCTATTTCTTAACGAAGTGGCCAGTGTGATAAGAAAAAATGGAGGTTCAGACGTTAACTCTTGAGTAATACTCCTTCTTATCAATCTTCCAAGCTGTAGAACTGAGAAACAACGAATAGTTTGCTGGCAAAGTGGATATATTATTGTATCCTTCAATGCTTTAATAAATTTTGATGTGTGATGATAAAGCTCTGTGTGATATTGGCAGCCGACTGAGATTTCCCCGTGGCTATTGTTGACGTTTAGAAAACTTATTCTGCTAGGTATTCTTCACCGCCAAGAGTATGGTCGCTGGAAGTAAAGTTGGCGGTAAGTTTGGAAAAGTTAGGTTGAGGGCAGACTTCACGATGAATAGCTCATTGGAAATAAGGTAGAGGTGGTCAGTGGAGCAGGGATGAAGAAGAAACCATGTGAAACGGCCCGAAACCCGAGAAATGGGACCCCTTCCTTGCCCGTTGATTTGCGCATTGATGCGACTCTCATCGCTGTGCCCTCTTCAACACTACGCTCTCTCTGCTATCTAATCACTCGCCACGTATAGACCTGCGGCGAGTGATTAGATAGTCGGTGGGCGTTCCGCGCCAACTGCGCCAAAGGGAAGGCATGGGAACATATCCCGTGTGAATTGTGTGTTGGTCCCACCCTTAAGGGGTCCGCCTCCCTCTCCATTATGTGAATTTCTCCTTCTTCGACCTTCGTTCTTATCATAGAATCCTCCTTTACGGCTAAGTTTCAGCTTACTTCTACTCGGCGCGAGTCCCATCTTCTACCACATGTTATTAAGCCCTCCTGCTTCATTCACTGTTCCCACACTTCAATACGT